TATTGATGTAATCAAATTTTGAAAATTACCAAGTTTCATCACTATGTGTAATGAAAACCTTAAAACTATTAATACAACTATAACAAGTATGAGAACTTCATAAATGAAATAAAATCAGTAAAATAGGTGTGTATTATTATATTATAAATGTTAGGAACCACCACAAAGTATCCTCACAAAAAGCAGAGGTATTGAGTTCTAAAGTTTCGGATAATCAACTTGATTATAAATGCTTAGCCTAAGCAGACAATGCTCATCATGCAGTCAAGACATTTTAATGTCTTAACCTAATGTCTACACAAAGTCTCAACGTTCTACCTCAATCAGAAGTGTGACTGGGAGACAGATTGACAGAAATGAAATGGTGTTTAACGTCCTACTTTTTTATACCAACTGGGCTACTGAAAACGGCAGACACCATGCAGTGTGCTAGGAGGGAAAATTCAGTCCTTCGAGTTTAAGGTGCGCTTTCACTTCTGCTCCTCTTCCATTTCCGTCGCAGGAGTCATTAAAGACTCCTGCAAATTAGCTAAATCGCTCTCCTAAATATTGAGATTAATAAATTGAAGAAGTCTAATTGAAAAAAAAAAAAAAAATTTTTTTATAAAGTATCTCATATTTTAAAACTTAATAAAATTAAAAGACAATTTCTTTGTGAAAAATAATTAAAATCTCAAGAGTAAGGTTATTTGAGGACAGTTAATTATACCAAAGTTACAGGTTCAATAACTTAACATGGTTCAGACACAAAAAAACAATTCTCTATAAATCATTAAAGACAATTTTGATTGTTTTATTTTTAAAATTTGAACACTTACAATAGACAGAGAGTCAGTGTGGACAATAAAGCAGTGATTAATTTGAACTTGTAATGGTGTGTAAGGGGAGGTAACTCCAATAAAGCAGCCTCCCATTTTTGTTACATGTATGATATCTATAATTGAGAATGCTAGTGTAATAAAGTGGACAAGTGCCGATGATTTTTCAAATAAGATCATTTGATTTTTTTTCAAATAAATCTATTTTTAGCAGGTTTTCTTAACAACTTGTTTATTTTTTCATTCTGATTCCTCTTATTAAAGTTTATGTCAATTTTAGTGTTTAGGGGCCCGTTTCACGAAATTTTAACTAAGATCAAATCCGAATTTTAGTAATTTGATAATATTAGATTGATTTTAGTGCTTAACCAATCAAAATTGAAGTATCTACTAACATTTGGATTTTATCTTTAGTTAAGATTTCGAGAAACAGGGCCCAGGTCAAAAAATATGTAAAAATATGTTCACCTTATTATACTAATATCCTCTTTTAGATACTAGAGCTGGACGATATTTGAAATTTTCATTATAACGATAATGATACATGTATAAAAATCCACATTATAAAATGCCATTATTGCAATTATTATAGTGCTTCGAGCAAGACAACTCCAAAATGGTGAACCTATCAGAATAAATTCTCTGAGAAGAAAGTTAATTTGAATCATTGTACTGTCATGCTTATGCTATTTTTCAATAAAATAATCTTCAGGGAATATAATTAGGGTAACGAAGATAGTTTCATACCATATATTGGATTACATCACCAATAAACTTGTGCAACTTCATTGGTTGCCTGTTGAAACTAGAACTGACTATAAAATTCTGACAACTATCCATAAAGCCTTTGCGACAAAATTCTGACACTACTCCTTTGTGACTGACAGAACTTGCGATCTTCAGCAGATAAAACATTGAATTTGGTTCCCAGATATAATAAATTGTATGGAAAATACTCTATACCAGTTCACGGTGCATATTTGAAATGAAATGAAATGGGGTTTAACGTCCTACTGTTTTGCTCCGAACTGGGCTAATGAAGACGGGCATACGCCATACAGTGTGCTATGAGGGTAATTTTGCCACGACAGCGGCACTACGGCCTACTCTTATATCGAATTCCAACTGTCAAGGGATCTTTTACGTGCACGCCAATGTGTACACGGGACCTCGGTTTTTCGTCTCATCCGAATGACTAGACAGCTGTCCTTGTCAGGCCCTCCGTCCTGCATCACTGACAAGGGGGAACCACGCCGGAAAATCTGGATGAACTTTCTCGGCCAATGCAGGGATGGTGCATATTTATGGAATGAGCTTCCTCAACAGATGCGCTCGACAATTCTATTTTCAAGTTTTAAGACCACACTAAGTGACTAAAGACACATCTGTTTACCAAATATTTGTGCAAGAACAAATAGTTGATCTCACTGTGAAGCACTTAGAAATGACCAGCGGACATAATTTAGCGCTATATAAGACAATTTATTATTATTATTATTTTAAAGGCAAAAAATATTGTCAATAAAATTTACATTTTGTGATATATTGATGAAATTATTGTCCAACCCTAGTTAAACACACGATTTTTGTATTAGTACTGGAGTGTTGAGTGTGGTTTTATCAAGTATGACTTATTATATATGACCAATCTGATTCATAATATGTTTTAATAAAATAGCGGAGGAAAACAACAACTCTCGTACGAATAGTCCGAAGTAGCTGAAGGACATCTAATAAAATACTCTGATTTTATTGAACAATCTCATTGCTTATTGAAGAAATGGCGATAATCTAGATTCAAACGAAATATTGGATTGCAGTATTTTTAACGGTAAAAAATTACTGTCAGTTAAATTTACATATTGTGATGTATTGATTAATCAAAATTATTGTCCAACCCTAATGAGTACATTATCATTATGACGGCTACATTTAAACTTTAATTACAAATAGTAACCAACTATTCTACAGTAGGTATACTCCAAACATATTCAATTATTTTTATTGAGAAATCTATTATTTAATTTATGTTATTATTACGAACAACTCGGTCAGCGATTATGGCTGAGTTAAATAAATTAGATTTACTTACTATTTAACTTACCAGTTTAAGAGATTACTGATGCAAAATGGACATCTTTATAACTGTACCTACTTATAGACTTAAACCATTCTTCTAATGTACATAGATAAATTACAAAAAGTACAGAATACTGCGGCTAGACTTATTACTTTAACTAAGAAATGTGACCACATAACTCCTGTTTTATATAATTTACACTGGTTACCTGTTAAATATCGAATTGATTTTAAGATTTTATTACTTACTTTTAAATGTTTAAATAATTTAGCTCCTGTTTACCTCTCAGATCTTTTAGAACTTTATACACCTGGCCGAACATTACGTACATCAGATAAACTACTTTTAAAGCCCAAAACTGTTCAACTAGTCTCCTATGGTCAGTGCTCTTTTAGTTATCAAGCACCCGTTTTATGGAATAATCTACCATTTAGTTTAAGATGTTGTACATCTCTGTATTCTTTTAAAAAACAACTTAAAACACATTTATTTAATCAGGCTTTTAACTGACTCTGTATACAATCGTTAACATGCCCATAATCTTGTTGTTTATGTGTGATTTACATTGTCACTTTGTAAAGTGCCCTTGAACATGTTATATGAAAGGGTGCACTATAAATATGCTGTAATAATAATAATAATAATAATATATCAACCCTATGGAACTCTGTTACTTTAGCTATAAAGAACTTGGAATCCAATCTGATTAAAACACAGATCCAATTTTGTTTCGTTTTTATAGTTCAAAATTTTGATTTTACTTGTCTTTACTACACTTGGATCTGGAAGAGTTGTTATTTAATTCGTCTTCGGCTTGAAATGAGGGGTCAGCCAATCAAATGGTCTGTCGAATCGAGCGTTTGACCTTTTTTTGCGCGGAACTGTGGGTAGACATTAGCGGCAATAGAAATCAAAACAAAGCAAAAGTAGATAAAAAATACATGGAGGTCGCTAATTGGTTAATCGAATGACTGACGTAATCGGGTCAAATGTCGCTTGCTTGGTACCTGACGTCATAGAACGTGAACTCCCACTATAACTTGTTAGATCGACATGTAGTGTAGGCCATCGAAAGTATAAAAAACAAAACGAAATATAGATCTATATTTTAATTAGATTGCTTGGAATCTAGTCACAATAAAACATACATTATGCAAGAGCTAAATCTGCCTATTGCAGGTCTTTCTTTAGGCCTTAAATGTTATATAAATTATTAATTAGACATTAATTAACTTACCAAGACCATGAGTATATTTAATTACGTTTTGTAGTCGATGCGGTTACTGTAACCATGGATAATCGAAACTTTTGTTTTTTATCGTAACAACGGTAGTAATGACAATCAAAGATAGGCTATATTTGTATCACCGATATCTAGACTCAGAGTGAAATTATGTGGCTGAAATTTCCATCATGTTCTGTTTTCATTATCTATTTTTTAAACTATTATAGCAAGAACTGTCAGCTCTTATTTAATGTTACCTAATGCTGCTTTAAAGACATATCTATATTCTTCAGTTCATCAGTACATTAACTTGTTTCAGTACATATATAAACATGGAGATTTGACAACTGCTCAATGAATGAAATGTGCAAAATAAAATGAAATGGTGTTTAACGTCCTACTGTTCTGCTCCAACTGGAGAATAAAGACGGGCATACGCCATATAGTGTGCTATGAGGGAAATTTTGCCCAGGCAGCAGCACTATCAAATTCCAACTGCCAAGGGATCTTTTACGTGCACACCAATGTATACACGGGACCTGTTTTTTGTCCCATCTGAAGGACTAGACAGCTGTCCTTGTCAGGCAATCCAGCCTGCACCACTGACAAGGGGAAACATGCCGGAGGTCCTGATGAACTTTCGTAGCCAATGCAGGGGTCGAACACGCGATCTCCAGGCTAGCGAGCCAGCGTCTTACTCACTTAGCCATCATTTCTCCCACATTTTAATACACACTATTATTTAACCTGGCATTGATGTTATAACTTCCAGTGATTGTGCAGTGTGAAATTAAGTGTAATACTACTTTCAATTTGTAAATAAAATATCGGGAACTTTTACGACAATATAATAAGATATGCGTAAAGAAATACTTACTGTTCAACTCCTCACTACCAGGTGTCGACTCCATCTGTACGACCACTTCTTGAACTTGAACCGGAGCCAATCGGCTATCAGATAAAATCTGACTCTGTGTACCTGGCAGCATGTGATGATTTCCTGAAATCGTCAAAATGATAAACAAATTCAATTCCTCTGATGCAATCAATATTTAAGGATTTTCCATATTATAATGCGATTTGAAATAATTTTATGTGTTTCATGAACCACCTTTTAAAAATCAGCAACGGTATTTGCACATGGGAACTGATTTTATTATTTTAAAAACTATGAGCGTATTAGTACAATATATTTTCTAGTATTTTCAGAACAGTGCTAATTAATGTTTCATGTAGTATAAATCGTATGTTCCAAGCAGGGTAATGTTTATAACAGAGTGAAGTGTGTAATGTTCTGATCATTGAGGAGAGAGAGAGAGAGAGAGAGAGAGAGAGATGGGGTTTAACCTCCACTCAACACAAACTAGTTCATTTCGGGAATAATATGGTTCAATTTTATTTTAATAATTCGCTTGTGCATAGGGATCTTTAGCAGTGGGAGGAAACCGGAGGACTCGTAGAAAACACATGAGGTTGGACAGGCGACCCTACTCCTTGTCACGTACAACCGGGGAGTCGACATCACGCCAGTTGACTCAATGACAGACCTTATGATACAGCGCGCATGTGCTAACCATTTGGCCATCCAACACCCATGTTCATAACAGCGTTAAGTGTGTAATGTTCTGATCATTGAGGGGATGCTCAGCTGTAAGTCCGGAAGGTTCCAAATTGACAGAATTACAATTGAGTAAGGCGGACATCAGTCCTGTCACAGTTCTGTCAGTCCAGACAACGGAGGTGGTGTGAGTAGAATCGTGACGTAATTCAACCCAACAAATATGTTTCAACTCTCATGGTTGGTTGAGATATTTTCTTATTCAGACGGCGCATGCGTTGAAGCTCGAAATTGTCCTTTTCAATCGATTGTCCGTATTTTGGGGTTTGTGAGAATTCAATTCCGGAATGTTTAATCAAGCATCTCTCCAATTTCTTTCAAGGGCAATAACTGATTAAAGGGAGATAACTTCCTATATCTACTGTAAAAATGATAGTTTAAAAAGGTGATCTAAAGATATATTATGTAAGATTTAGATAAAGAACTGACCATTCTTGCTATAATAGCTCAAAAATAGATCATGTAAAATTAAAATATTGAAAATTTCAATCAAATTACTTCATTCTGAGCCAAGTTATCACTGTTATCTAATCTAGTTAAAATCTCGAATATCCGATGCCATAGCGAGTTGATTATGTTCTTGTTTTGTTAATAAATGTCTAATTAAAAATTTATATAACATTTAAGGCCTATAGAAAGACCTGTAATAGGCAGATTTAGCTCTTGCATAATGTATGTTTAAATACCAGACAAATGTCATTATTTCTAGCACTGCAGGACACAACACAGTTCTATGGATAACAATCACTATATATTATATGCACACGACGTTTGAACAAGAATTTACTGGTCGTTATCAAGCATACATAATTACAAATGAGAAAAAAATTGTGACAGTGTTGTATATATAGGTACATTGAACAATAATAAGAGAAACCATAAGTTAACAATCATGAAACGCTAACTTAATTGATTATCAAAGTAATTATACTCAGATTTAATTATAACTAGAAGAATGACCGGCTTCGCTCGGGGGTCATAACCCGGAAACCGGAAGTGGTAGACTAACGCCACCTGGCTATGTTACTCCCCGGTCCGAGCTACCCCTTATACCCCAAATTTCAGACTCGGGGCAGACCTAGTGTAGCCGCCAACCCCAAACAGACAGACAAACGACAGTCACAAATATTAGTATAGATAGCATATAGAACTGTGTTGTGTGATATTATGTTCAATCGCTAAATGCCATTCAAAGATTTGCATGTTTAACAGAGTATTATGAATGGATGAATTTGAATTATAAAGTGTTCACTCACCTATCTGACTCTGTGTCATACTAGTAAGATAGTTCTCCCCCTGTACAGAAGCGGGAAATGTCCGCGTCGTGCCTCCATTCGGTTCTTGTACCTGTATCAATATTTGTGGTTGGCTCGTAGCAACGTTTGAATTCATGCTGCCCTCTAGCGCCTGATACGGTAGAATGATTTGAATCTGTGGTTGATTAGCGGGTTGCTGAACGGCTACAGTTGTACCCCCAACTTCCCTTGAAAGGAGGTTGATGGGTATTTGCTGTTGAACAGTTTGATGTGGTACAACCTGTACCGTGTAGCGTTGTTCCACGGGCTGCTGTGTCGCGACTTGATAATGCATGACTTGTTGAGCTTGAACCTGATTGGTTGCTAGTTGCGTCACAGATTGTCCAGAAACAATTTGTTTAATGCTCACCATTTCTCCGGTCGGCAATTCTATCATTTGTTGACAATCAGGATTATTACCCACAATACCTTGTGTGTCCATGGGAACATACTGAACATTTTGCGCAACATTTTGTTGTTGCATTCTGATAGGCTGCTGTATTGGTATTAACTGCGGACCTGACGGCGTATTTATGATTTGATGTGTGGGTTCGTCTACCAAGCTCGCAACCTCTACGTTCGAATCTTCCATTTGTGTCGACTCCTGATTAGTGATATAATTAACAGGAACTTGATTTGCCGTTTGACCTTGAACTTGACCCTGTCCTTGACCTGTGACATTGGCTTGATGTCTGTTGTCAGTGTTTACGATTTCAGATTTTTGTTGTGGAATTTGTGAAAGTTTTAGGACAGCCGCCTCAGCAATATCTTGGAGACCACATGTCTTGACTGGCTGTTGCTGTGATGCATTATGGGTAGCACTATGAGATCTACGAGGGGATGTTCCGATTGTCTTAGTCTCGGGACTTTTATGCGAGTGTCTTGTTGATCGTGACGGCGATCTGTTCGACTCACTAGATTTTTTAGACGATTGTCCCGAATTCTGCAGTTGAAGAACGGCCATTGCCGTGCTTTCTAAGTTCATAGCGATATCACGACAATGCTGTCGCGTGTGACTCCGTAAGGAATCTTCACGGACAAATGACGCCGTGCATATATTACACTTGTGAGCGTTTCGTCCAATCGTTTTACTTGGTGATTTGCTCCATTCCTCATCTCCGGGAGACGCTTCCTGGTTTCTTTCGGAACGCGAAAAATATTTAGACTGTTTTATTCTTTCAGAATGCTTTTTCTTGATATGAGTCTTAACATTTCCGATCTGTTTACATTTATACGAACAAAAATCACAACTAAATGGCCGCTCCTCGCTATGAATCCTCATATGGGTTGAAAGCGCACTCTTGCTGTTACAATGATATCGACAGGTTTCACACTCGAAGACAATGGTCATATCGTGAGTCTTGCTATGTTCACGCATCGCTTTACGAGATGACGTAGAGTATGTACAATGGTCACATGTCATTTTGTTTTCCTCGGAATGATTGATCCGTAAATGAGTCTTTAAGTTCGCTGGAATGAGACAAAAAAAAATTAGTTTAGAAATGGAGAGAGAGAGAGAAATGGGGTTTAACGTCCACTCGACACAAACTAGGTCATTTCGGGACTAACATATGGTTTAATTTTATTTACATAATTCGCTTGCGCGTAGGTGTCTTTAGCAGTGGGAGGAAACCGGAGGCCCCGGAGAAAACCCACGAGGTTGGACAGGCGACCCTACTCCTTGTCACGTACAACCGGGGATTTGAAACCACGCCAGTCGACTCAATGACAGACTTTATGATACAGCGCGCGCACGCTGACCATTCAGCCATCCAACCCCCCAGTTTAGAAATGGTGTAGGATAGGAAGGGAAATGAAATGGGGTTTAACGTCCTACTGTTCTGCTCCGAACTGGGCTAATGAAGACGGGCATACGTCATACAGTATGCTATGAGCGAAATTTTGGCCGGACAGCGGCACTACGGCCTAAGCTTATATCGAATTCCAACTGTCAAGGGATCTTTTACGTGCACGCCAATGTGTACATGGGACCTCGATTTTTCGTGCTATCCGAACGACTAGACAACTGTCCTTGTCAGGCCCTGAGGGAAATGATAAGCCCTCATTCTCCTTCCAAATATCTAGCCTATTGATGCTATTCCACCTGTATATTCGGACACGTCTTACACTATTTTTCAAACGTCCGACCAGGAATACATCAACGTTCAATTGGACATCAAGACATGGTGAATAATATTCAATATTCCAAAATTAATTGACACATGATTTTTAACTATGGTCAGAAAATGTCTGCTTGAAAAACGATAAGAGTTATGCCCCTTTATTTTTGGTTAAAATGTCTGACAATAAAAAAAACATGAAATAGCTGATTGCAACCAAGCCTGTAACAGAAATTGTGAGGCTAAGATTTATTTTTCTACCTATGTTTTTAAACTCACCTTTTATAGAACACCTATAATCACACTCACCTTTTATAGAACACCTATAATCACACTCACCTTTTATAGAACACCTATAATCACACTCACCTTTTATAGAACACCTATAATCACAGTCACCTTTTATAGAACACCTATAATCACACTCACCTTTTATAGAACACCTATAATCACACTCACCTTTTATAGAACACCTATAATCACACTCACCTTTTATAGAACACCTATAATCACACTCACCTTTTATAGAACACCTATAATCACACTCACCTTTTATAGAACACCTATAATCACACTGTTCACAATTAAAGGGTTTTTCTCCCGTGTGGATTCTAGCGTGACGTTTCAGATCAGAATTGATTTTAAACTTTGCGTGACAAACAGGACACTGAAACGGAGAGTCGCCTGTGTGGATTCGTAGATGAACAACAAGCTGACTGGAATTTCTACTCGCATACGAACAAATTTGACACCTGGAAAGGAAATGAATATTTCAATAAACACGTAACCTCACAACAAAATGAAATTATACAAATGAAGTGAAATGGGGTCCTACTGTTCTGCTCCGCTGGGCTAATGAAGACAGGTATACGCCATATGGTGTGCTATGAGGCAAATTTTGCCCAGGCAGCGGCTGTATGGCCTAGCCTTATATCGAATTCCAACTGCCAAGGGATCTTTTACATGCACGCCAATGTATACCAAGTGTATACCAAGTCTACACACACAGGAGGTAGTGTTGGAAGATTGCCAGTCATCCTGGATAACCAAGTCCACATACACACACAGGAGGTAGTGTTGGAAGATTGCCAGTCATCCTGGATAACCAAGTCCACATACACACACAGGAGGTAGTGTGGTAAGATTATCAAGTCACTCTGGATTATGAAGTCTACTTAAGTAGATTTATCCTGAGGTTTTATATCCATAAGCTAAATGCAAGCACACACTTACTCAAAATGTCTGACGTTGAACTCATCTGGGCCGAAACAGAAAATTTTATTTTTCATTTCAACCGCCAAAGTGTGCTGTGGTTGATTTAATCTGAAGATTACCATAAAGGATTATTTACATTTCTGCTAACTGTGTCACATGACCAAAACCTAAAGGATTTATCCTTTAAGATTTTCGTTAGGATTTGTCACTAGTGTGACTCAGCCTTTACACATGTGACTCTCAGAGGTTGTAAAATTTTGCCCAGACAACCTACATGTACTGTCAGGGGTTCTTGAAAACTGATCAAACACAGGTATAAATCCTACTGAATGTTGAATTAATATTAAATATTTAACGATACCCAATATCTAAATATGTCACTTACTTAAAGGGTCTTTCATCTGAATGTGTCCGTGAATGTTTCCGTAAACTACTGCTGTCTACAGCTGCATATGAACCTACACAACCCCAAAAAAACCAAACAAACATATTAAAGTAATATCATATATAGTTGACGATTCAAAATATCCTCAACAATTTTTTGATGGTACCGAAAAGTACCCCATGACTTGGACAACACCTGTTAAAATATTAATTCCAAAATTATCTTTTGCAGAGAAAATAAATTTAAATATATACTAGGGTGCTCTTTTTAAAAAGCATAGTTTCAAATTTTTAAATTCTATACAATCTATACAAGTGTAATGTGCAATATAACTATTATACTTTATTTTGCATTATTGAAAAGTGTATTCTGTATTTTAACACTGGGACATTGGTATTGTGGAGCAATGGAAATTGCAAATTGTAAAACTAAAATATGTATTTTCAACTGGTGACATATTCTTCCATAGAATTGCTCATCACTAAACTCAGTCTAGACGTATTTTGAACTGCTGACAGTATCCATAGGAATACTCATCCCTAAACCCAGTCTAGACATTCACATCTATATCAAGTTTTGAACATTCTACCCCAATTAAGATTAAAATACAGATCTATATTTCGTTTCGTTTTTTTATACTTTCAATGGCCTACACTACATGAAGATCTGACAAGTTATAGCGATAGGTCACGTCAGGGGTCAAAAGACCGACTTATGACCCTATGACGTCAGACATTTGATTAACCAATCAGCACTGATGTTACTAGTGGTTTACCCACAGTTCTGTGAAAAACACGCCTAAAGCTCGCCGTAACAGACCTTTTCATTGGCTTATCCCTGACACCATTCAGAACATGAGTTAAATAACAACTCTTCCAGATCCAAGTGTAGTAAAGACAAGTAAAACGAAATTTTGAACTATAAAAAAACGAAACGAAATAGGATCTGTGTTTTAACCAGATTGCCCCAATCAGATACAGAATTATTGTGTTCTGAATAAGTGTGATGCATTTCAACAGACCCCCGCGTTTTCTGAAAGGCGACGGACAATAAAAAAATGGACTTACATTGAGAACACTGGAAGGGTTTTTCACCCGTGTGGGCTCGGATATGTATCTTCAACTTATCACTACGATTAAAACTTTTCGAACAGTACGTACAAAGATAGGGTTTCTCCCCCGTGTGGGTCCTTATATGACGATCCAGATCCTTAAAATACCCCGTCTGATACGAACAATCTTTATAATCGCACGCAAAATATTTGGGTTTGTTAGATCCCTTCCCTTTGGTGTTGGCTGGTCGACCCTTTTGATTAGATTTTGATGAATCTAAAAAATAAAAATAAAGTTAAATCAGATCAAAACAATATTATGACAATAGTTTATGAAAAACAAAATGTCTAGATTGATATGTTTCTTGGAATTTCAGTTGCCAAAGGATTTTTTATGTACCGGGGGACAGTTTTAAACAATTGTTAAAATTTTACCGAGGACATTGAAACATGTTAGTCCCAAAATGACCAGGTTTCTGTCAAGTGGACTGAAAATCAGTTGATATTTCTCTCTCGCTGTCTCCCCCTAGGGGGATTGAAAGGTCGAATGGTTAACATCTGTCATTAACTCAACGGGCGTGGTTACGATTCCCTGGTTGTACGTGACAAGAAGTAGGGTCGCCTGTCTAACCGTGTGGGCTTTCTCCGGGTCCTCTGGTTTCCTGCCACTGCTAAAGACCCCTATACGCAAGCGAATTATAGAAATAAAATTGAAGCATGTGTTAGTCCCGAAATGACCTAGTTTGTGTTGAGTGGAGTTAAACTTAAACCCCATTTCTCTTTCTCTCTTTCTCTCTCTCTCTCTCTCTCTCTCTCTCTCAGAAATTACCTTTAACTACTATATACTTTGGTTTGGTAGCAGCCAGAGTTGAATTATCTGGAGTTATATCCCCTTCCATCTGCTGAATACTACATGCTGGTACCATCTCTACATCTGTCGTCAAAACACTGCTAGACTGACCAATCGGGTTTGAATAAACAGGGTCACATGGGTCATTCAATGTGGTTGCCATGGACATATTATGGGATGGATCAACTGGATATAAATTGTACGAACTTGACATATTTATTTGATCGGTGTCGACGTAAACATCTTTTTTAGAAGATGAGTGAACGTTTGTGTTCATATACTCCATTTCAACTGTTGGCAAATCTGCCGTCAACGTACCGTCATCTAAATTAACATTTTCTGATCTCAAAGCTTGCCCTAACAAATCCATGTTAACGATCGCAGGAGGTGGCTGGCTGGCTTTCACTTGAGAATTTCGGGTCTTCCTTCTCGAAGACAGCGGTACAGACGTCTTTGTTATAGAGCCAGTGCTGTCGGCCATTTTGTTACGCCCCCGTTGATCCAATTCGTATGACTCGCTATTTTTCTGTAAGCCATATGAACTTATGTACTGATGATCGTAATTCTGACTGGATAATTTATCTTCAACAAGATTAGTATTTGCATAGACAGCTTGGTCTGGTTGATCTTGACTAGTATAGTACGTCTGCTGTTGATGATACTGAGCAGTAAAATTTTCCGACTGATCTTGATTGTGTTCAGCTCCTTTTCCGTAATTACTAAGTTCTACATTTTGAGCTGCTTTGACTTGTGGTTGATAAACCATATTGGCGTCTGACTGTGGGAAAGTCATCTCTGGAAGTTTCTGGTGATGCTGCGCTAGACGAATTTGTTTGGCTCCTGCCAACAACATTCGATCAGGAACTAGATATGTACGATCCAGAGCGTCGGCAGCGGATTTAATCTTTTGTTTTGTTGAGGAAACATTTATTGCCGACGTCAAATTCTGATCAGGATATTCAGCTTGACCTTGTGAAAAGTCAGCCGAACTTTCGTCGTAATTTGATCTTGACACTTGAAAAATCTTTGTAGATTTGGAAGCTCTCCGAATCTCGGTTTCCACAGAATTAAATTGATTGGGCATCATATCCCCATCCCTTTCTGAGAATTCTGTCGTTATTCCCAGAACCTCTCTGGGGTTTCTGGACACCTGAGAATCGAGATGTTGATCGCTAGTATCCTGGTAATAAGTAATGCGAGATGACGTCGGTTTTAATCTCTGATGCGAAGAGGATGCTGAGGCTTCAGGCTGTAGTTCGTAGATCGGCTGAGCATGCGAGTTTCTATGCTGATATTTGTCAAATTCACTACCGGTAATGCCTTGCAGATGCTCTTTTCTATCAACATCTTGCGCTTCACCTGAGAAACTTTCCTCATGAATCTGTTGCCCACGATTCTCATTCTGTAAGATGTTTTCAATTTCTTGATTTCTTTCTCCAACTGATTCAAGAGTTTCCAGGTCCTCTTGTTGATCACGTGACTTGATTAAGTTCTGCTGATTTTGTAGCAATGTTGATGAATTGACTGCGCTATCGTAGTTGGAATGGGAAACATTTTTTCGTTCCAGTTGATCGACAGATCCATGTAAAACCGTAGAACACGGTAGTGTCTGTAAGTTGACGCTCGTTCCACGTGAGAGAATCGACGACAAATTGCTGTAGGTAGATTTGCCGATTTCTTGCGTGTTCTGGTCTACATTTTGAGATTCAGGGTTATCTGCCCTTTGATTTTGTTTGAGTCTATTAAGAGTAGGGCAAAGTTGTTTATGGTTTATGAAGTGTGTCACATTATTAAACTGTGTTCGGCAAGCACCGCAAATATGTATGTCCATGTACTCCATCTTGTGTCTTCAGTAATAAAATGTCTTCACGATGTACAGTTGCCTTAAATCGTCCATTACCCATAAGCTTATAAGCTACTTTTAACCACCTGAAAAACATATCAATACAATATTTCATATGATTAGAGGTTTAGAATTCGTCTTGATTAAGTTCTTGCAAATTCTTAGGATTTGCCAGGTGGCTTGATTATTAGCCAACATACATGTATGATGTATAGCCCATGACTCTTGACATCTAAGGAAAGTTAATGTCCAAGATTGTATTTTGGGTGTGGTATTTTTGGATTCCTCAATCCCTCAGATTATGTTCCAAGACTTTTGACTACGTGTATGTGATGTCCAAAATGTATTTACCCCTCCCTGCCCTTTATTCTCTACCTCGAACAGGCCTACCAAACAATCTTGCATCTCTATATGCGAGAAGCCTATTATTCAAATGATTCCTCTTGCAAGTTTCTCGGAAAACAAGGTGAGAGCAGGAAAAACATTCAGGGAAAAACAACCCACCTCCTTACTCTAGCATGGGAGGTGATCATCAATAATAATTTCTGGTGGTTTTGAGGTTACCCCTTGGGAGTTAAACACACAAATACATCACTGGACAAAGTAGTGCTTGTTATATTATATTAAATGAAATGAAATGGGGTTTAACGTCCAACTGTTCTGCTCCGGTCTGGGCTAATGAAGATGGGCATACGCCATACAGTGTGCTATGAGGGAAATTTTGCCCGGAAAGTGACACTACGGCCTACTCTTATATCGAATTCCAACTGTCGACAAAGGATCTTTAACATGAACGCCAATGTGTACATGGGACGCGACTATACAGCTGTCCTTGTCAGGCCCTCCATCCTGCATCACTGACAAGGTGGAACCACGCCGGAAAATCTGGATGAACTTCAGGTTAGCGAGCCAGCGTCTTACCCACCATGATCCCCTATATTAATATTATATGAATAAGATGGCATATTTTAATTATCAATATATTTGAGCGAATTCATTTGGTGTGGGTTCTAGCTGTAGTATAGGGTGTTAATATATGTCAACATTTTCAAAGTCTCTATATCAGTATATATGGATAGATCTATTCAATTTTATAAATATTTTAATTTATTGAAATATTAATAAAGTCAATACCGTATGTATGTCACTGACTGAATCATAACCAGACAACAATATACAACCTAATGGTTGTCAAAAACAAAATAATTTAAAAAAAAAAAAAACATACTAAGAAATGGGCCGTCCCAAAATAAAAATAACGAATGAAACACACGTGGATTTATTATGACAGGGCCCTGCAACAAGCACAAAACATTGTCTTGAAAATTATCGTTTATCTCCGATTTTAACCCGATAAATCTGTTTATCATGCAAATATTCGTTTTCTACGAACTTACAAATTTCATAATCTAATAATATTATGCAGAACCATCGCGTATATCTCTGTAAATCAACTAAAGACCTGTAAAAACAACTGCTAAAATATGTAATTTACATGGCGGCGAAACATGGAGGTTCAATAAAAATTGTCGCTAGAGGGCGTACTATTATATGGGGGGAAAACGGTTACTGCTAAAGGATAAGGCCAGCTCAATTTCTCGTCATAGTCCACGAGATGTAAACAGGGCTAGCGCTAATCCCAACCCTAACCCTAGTCCTGGACCTAGCTCTAAAGCTTACCCTAACCCTAGCCTACAATCTTGCCACCAATCACGTGCCCTAACCTTATTATATCTCAGCGACCTTGACAAAACTTGAGCTAGCCTTAACAAATAGATTTAGCCAAGGAAAACATACCCGACAAAGGTTAAATTTGGAATAGTTGTATGCATTTTCTACCAAAAAAGCTATTTCAATTCGGTGAGCTGTCTTTCTGTTTTAAAAAAAAAAAAAAAGCACCCCTTTTAAAAAAAAAGTTCTCAATCAATGATAGTATTTGATATTTCATTCAACATATTTTTTTACTGTAAGTTCTTCTGCCGGGGTTAATAATAAATGTAGTTATCTCCCTTCCACTGTACTGATCAAGACCTCCTTCTCGATCCATAGACATTAATGATCGAATAGGCCTATTTATTAGTTTCTTTCAACATTGTATTTGAATGATTTTCCTTTTTATTCAAATGATATCAAAGTTAATTTTCTTAATAAAAGATGTGATGGCGGTCCAGGCTTAAAAGAACATTCCTCATATTGGAGGCTACTCTTGAACCATCGGCCTGATATCAGACATGCGTTTTGGGTGAAATTAATTTCAAACTTTGAATAAAATTCAAAATTTTATTTTTTGGGGTGATTTTGAAATACACTTAGGTTACCCGGTAGTTAAAGAATATAAAAATAGTGCTTTTCCGTCACTAGGGGCCTATATATCAGAGGGTCTTTTTTTTAATCCGAACATGTTTGATGATAGTAAATGTCATGATTTAGCACCAAATAGGAAGATTAGTAAAGAAGATTAAAAAATTTGAAAAGTATGACCCTCCCCTAGAAAATGAGAAAATCAAAAATTATTTTGAAAAATCACAAACCTGTATGTAGGTGATAGGATGCACCGAGCATCCAATGGCATCCCTTATGAAAAAGTCCTATAGAAAAAGTACACGTTTCTATAGAAGTTTGTGGGATTCTAGATGCTATAGAATGCTGCAGGAAAACGAAATCATTCTGTATTTTTTTTACATGACTATAGATTCAAAAACATGTACAATAGTTTTGTGTAGGATTGGTAGATGAATATTTTCGAAGTGTAATTTCCTATAGAATTCTATAGAATACTGTAAGAAACTATTGGGAAAAAAAATAAACCTACAGATTCATTGGTGCTGCAATAGTTTTCTGTAGAACTATTAACGTGTATCCTCGAGTCAGTTGAGTAATCCTTCAGTTTTCTGTAGCCTTTGTGCTAAAAACTATAGTTTGCTATAGAACTAACTTGTATTCTCATGTCATCTGTAATTCCTATAGATTTGGTGGTAAAAACTATAGTTTTGTATAGAACTAACTTATTGTCTCAAGTCAGTAGTATATTCCTATAGTTGTCTATGACATTCTGTTGAAAACTAAGAATTTATATGTATACTGTACTTAAACCATTTTAACAAATAGCCTACTATAGTTTCCTGCATAATATTGTAGAAACAATGTTCTATACTACAGATTTCATAAATTGGCGATGTCTTTTATTCATACTATAGTTTACAATAGAATTTAGTGATTCACTTGTGTGAATAATGTAAACTTTTCCAACATAATTTTCCTGGATGCAGTTTTTCTTAATTTATTGTGATACCAAATGACAAACTAAAATAAGCTTACCACGAAAAATAAAATATAAAGTATAAAATAGTGTATATAATATGAATGAATAGGAATTCCCCACCCACCCTCCCAAAAATGCCAGTAAATGTAGATGTTCACAACAAAAATATCAGATAATAAATTATTCTTCAGAAGTCAATGAAATAAAGACACAGTTTATTTAGATTTTAATGACTATAGCAGATTCTGTACTCAGATTCTGTCAACCGTGAATACCTGTCGACAAATTGTAATTAACAGCCAATGTACTCTCTTGAAATCTGTTTGGCCATTGGCTGAATTTAAAATTCAAAAATTCAGTGTATAACAACTTTAGTATTAACAAGAAACTGAAGAGAATGGTGGTGTTTTTTCACAGAGTCGATTAAAGATAGAAAGATAAGTATACTTTATTACTTTTTTAACAATAATATTAAATTACTTTAATTAGATAAGATTTATGTGATTTTGTTATTTATTTAACTTTATTACCTATTCTTTTCCCTATATTTCAGTTTTACCAAGAAAAGAACTTTTCATGGTTCCGGCTGGTGAATCATCAACAGAATTCAGATTAATCCATGAGAGAAAAAATAAGCTTATCATGGGCCAACTATATTTATTCCCAAAATAAGATTTAACAAGCCAACAGTGAGGCTGATGTCCCCCGCCGAAATAGGAAAATAATTAGAGGACACATATAAATTTATCACAAATAAGCGGAACGGACAGACAGACAAACAGACAGACGGACGAACCCATTTTAATAGTTCCCTGCTTTCTTCGAAAGGCGGGGGACAATCAAAGTAGGAGAGTTATTGTTTTCCAAAGTCTCGACCAATCAAATTGCGTATCGCTCTGCTTACCCTGAGCAGAAAATGCTCATTATCAAACTTAGTCAAGGTATTACTGTAATGAAACTATACACCAAGTTTCATCAATCTCACTTAATTAGAACTAAAGTTATCGTGTCCCAAAGCATCAACCAATCAAATTGCTTATCTCTGCTTACCCTTAGCGGAAAATGCTCATCTTCGAACTCCATCAAGGCATTGACCTAATCAACACATACACCAAGTTTGAACATTCTAGCTCAATTAGGAAGAGAGTTATCGTGCCCCAAAGTATCAACCAATCAAATTGCTTATCTCTGCTTACCCTAAGCGGAAAATGCTCATCTTCGAACTCCATCAAGGCATTGACCTAATAAACACATACACCAAGTTTGAACATTCTAGCTCAATTAAAAGTTATCAAAGCATCAACCAATCAAATTGCTTATCTCTGCTTACCCTAAGCGGAAAATGCTCATCTTCGAACTCCATCAAGGCATTGACCTAATCAACACATACACCAAGTTTGAACATTCTAGCCCAATTAGGAAGAGAGTTATCGTGTCCCAAAGCATCAACCAATCAAATTGCTTATCTCTGCTTACCCTAAGCGGAAAATGCTCATCTTCGAACTCCATCAAGGCATTGACCTAATAAACACATACACTAAGTTTGAACATTCTAGCTCAATTAGGAAGAGAGTTATTGTGTCCCAAAAAGTGTGACGGACAGACAGACGGACGGACGGACAGACAGACGGACAGACAGACGGACGAACCCATTTTAATAGTCCCCTGCTTTCTTCGAAAGGCGGGGGACAATAAAAAAAAGTCTATAGAATTCTATAGTACCCATTCCTACAGAAAACTATTGTGGCCCAATTTCCAAACTACAGAATACTACAGTATTCATTCCTATACATAACTGTAGAATTTCCTACAGAAAGTGCAATAAAAAAACCTATAGAATACTATAGTATTTTCCTATAGGAAAAACTATAGCATGTGCGCTACAGAAACTGTAGAATATTTGGGGTCGTTATTTCCTACAGGCCCCCAAAATTCTGTAGAATACTATAGAATTTTATCCTATAGAACATGGGACACGCCCCCCCAAAAACTCTATAGATTTTCTATAGAATTCTACACTGCTATTCTGTAGGACTTTTTCTTGAGCTTTGATTTTTCGAACAGAATTTCTGTTTGGTTAGGACAAACATGATTCGGAGACCCCTGCCAACATAAATTAAACCCTCATTGACTCCAATCAGACAAGGCCCTCAGTCCTGCACCACTGACAAGGGGAAACCATGTCGGAAAATTCTGATGAACTTTCTGAAAGGTCAATGCAGGGATTGAAAACGCGACCTCCAAGCTAGCGAGCCAGCATCTTACCCATTTAGCGAAAGCAATAGTGGATGGACAGACTGACAATAGATATGACAATATCAGTCATTGTTTTTAAAGGCGCACGATCGCTCTCAAGCGCCTGCCGCACACCTGAATGTCGACCGAGGGGAGCTTTTTCTCCCTCTCTCTTAACTTGAAAATCACTCTGCTTTACAAAGTCATGGGGGTTTATTATCATTTATGAATTCAGGAATGACCCCTAACATGCAGTTATTGATCTTCAGAACCATTTCCTATACACACAACTAATCACTCTCCTTTCCTTGATATCAGATCACTCTCCTTAATTTCTAAACCACTCTTCTTATCGAAACTGGGAGAGCTTTTTTAGGGGAGCGATTTTTTCAATTTGTTGATAAAGGGGAGCTTAAAATACAAACAACAACGACTGCATGAGAAAGTTTAATATAAAATCAACAAAACTTCAAATACGGTACTTATTTTAATAAGGTGATGAAAATATATCGCTAGATGGAATGTATACAAAGTAGTGACAGATGCTCACAAAACATAAGTACAAATATTTACATAATCAAACATACAGTAAACTTTGCATAAGTCAGATCTAAGTGGACTGACCAATTTTATCCGAGTTAAACAAAGATCCGAGTTAAGCGAATATTCCGAGTTAGCCGACGACTTAGTTTAGCTCTGAACGTAGGTATTTGGATTTCAAAAGTGTCTGCCAGGGCATTTGGCGGAGGGGGACGTATTTTTAACAGCATGCTGTGAACATACTGCCGATCCGACTCAGGCGAAGAAAAAAAGCCGAAATTAGATCAAATGGACCGAACATTTTGATCTGAGTTGAGCAAAGATCCGACTTACGCACAGACATTAAATAAAAAAAAAAGTGCAGGATCAAAGGGTCCAAATGATTTTATCCGAGTTGAGCGAAGATCCAACTTAAGCGAGGTTTACTGTACATGTAGATTATCAAACAGAAACGTCCCGGTGGTTTAACACACTAGATCAGACCACATGTCTGTATATTCTATCACAGGACAGGGACTTGTCGAAACGATAAGATAATACTTGTCGAAACGTTGGCTATATATATGTCTATAAAGTAGTGATTGTTTTCCATATAAATTGTGTTGTGTTTTTTAATGTGCTCAATCGTTAAATACCACTCAACGATTATGTTCCTCCATCACACTCACAGGGCAACGCATGTCATTGAGAAATGAAATGAAATAAATGGGTTTAACATCCTACTGTTCTGCTCCGACTGGGATAATGAAGACAAGAGAGAGAGAGAAATGGGGTTTAACGTCCACTCGACACAAACTAGGTCCTTTCGTGACTAACATATGGTTCAATTTTATTTCAATAATTCGCTTATGTGTAGGGGTCTTTAGCAGTGGGAGGAAACCGAAGGACCACAGAAAACCCACCAGGTTGGACAGGCGACCCTACTCCTTGTCACGTACCACCGGGGAACTGAAACCACGCCAGTTGACTCAATGACAGACCTTATGATACAGCGCGCACGTGCTAACCATTCAGCCATCCAACCCCCCACTGGTTTTAAAGTTCGATGACATGTAACTGACTGGCGATATGTTTTAACGAAACGTAGAGATTTGTAAAATAATCATCATCCACATCCTCGTGTGATAATTTACGATATTCTTCGCGAAGATTTAAAATAACGGGACGAAATACGGAAAATTGTTCCAAACACGGGTGTAACAATGTTGTCATGGAATTTATGACTTTTTCGCGACTGTCATGCTCGGGTAATGTCAACAAACGAGGTATTAATTCACACCATCCGCCAACAACCATCGCTTCTTTAATATTTAATCTGAAATTAAAAATTACAATTGATAAATTTCTTGTTACAAATTTTCATTATTTTAAAACATGAAATGTAATGTAATGGAGTTTAACTTCCTACTGTTCTGCTCCGAACAGAGCTAATGAAGACGGCCATACGCCATACAGTGTGCTATGAGGGAAATTTTGCCCAGACAGCAGCACTACAGCCTAATCTTGTATCGAATTCCAACTGTCAAAGGATCTTTTACGTGCACGACTGCACACAAATTTGTACACAGGACCTCAGTTTTTCGTCCCATCTGAACGACAAGGTGGAACCTCACCGGAAAATCTGGATGAACTTTTTCGACCAATGCAGGGATTGAACACCCAACCTCCTGACTACTTATCTAGAATCATTTTTTGTAAATATTGTATACTGTATATATGTTCTGTTTTAATGGGTAGATTTGTAAATAGGCCCTATGTCTAAGTCTCAACCCAAATAAAGTTATTATTATACTACTCAATACCACTCATTACAAACTAAACATCACCCATGACCCATTACATGTACTTCCCTAATACCATCCATTACAAATCAAAAACACCACCCATTACATGTATTTCCCTAATACCATCCATTACAAACTAAAAACACCACCCATTACATGTATTTCCCTAATACCATCCATTACAAACCAAAAACACCACAAATTACATGTACTTCCCTAATACCATCCATTACAACCCCCCCCCCACCATTACATGTACTTCCATAATACCATCCATTACAAACCAAAAACACCACACATTACATGTACTTCCCTAATACCATCCATTACAAACCAAAAACACCACACATGACCCATTACATGTATTTCCCTAATGCCATCCATTACAAACTAAAAACACCACCCATTACATGTACTTCCCTAATACCATCCATTACAACCCCCCCACCCACCCATTACATATACTTTTCCTAATGCCACCCATTACAAACTAAAAACACCACCCATTACATATACTTCCCTAATACCATCCATTACAACCCCCCACCCCACCCATTACATATACTTCCCTAATACCATCCATTACAACCCCCCACCCATTACATATACTTCCCTAATGCCACCCATTACAAACTAAAAAGACCACCCATTACATGTATTTCCCTAATGCCACCCACTACTTTCCCTAATGCCACCCACTACTTTCCCTAATGCCACCCATTATTTCCCCCCCCCCCCCCAAGTCTCAACTCAAATCAAGATATTATTATTATTATTAATAAAAATCCTGGCTGGAAGCCATCAGATCTTGTTTGGATATATTAGTAAGTACAGAAGAACTGCATCACACCATATGTGATTTAAACATACATTACGTAAGAGCTAAATCTGCCAATTACAGATCTTTCTTTGGTGTGTTCCCACTTAGCCGGGAGACTGTTAATCCTTTGATTGATCTTAAAACTATAGTCTGTTTAAAAGTAGTCACTCAAGAACTGTTCACTAGTGTTCAGCGTTAATGAGCTCTTAATCCCTCTTAATATAATTTATTAACCAACTAATTAATGACATTTTGAACACAGTTCATGCCGGCGTTATGATTTCAAACATGAATTCAATTCAATATATTAATATAAATAGGCCTCGCGTTAAGCAATATCGACAACTTGATACAAGAATTGAACATTTGAAAACACAGTTATTAAATGGCTCTTTAAGTGTAAATCGGTATGGAACAAATATTTCCTATTTAGTGGGGCTGTAAAATGATTGTTATGTTGTAAGGCATTTATTTATAAATTATATAATGCTATTTAATAAAAGTTAAATGTGTAAATTGTAATGCATTTTTATATGTGTAAATCATTTAATGTTATTTAATAAATATTAAATTTGTTAAAATCAATATATTTTTATATGTGTAAGCTATTTAATGTTATTTAATAAAAGTTAAATTTGTTAAAATCAATACAGTTTTAGTCCTAAAAAAGATATGGACTATAGTTTATAACACCATTGTTCTAGGATTAACTCTGGATTAGCGGCAAAATTTGACATCAAAGCCTGCCGGGTAAGTGGGAACACCCCCTTTCTTTAGGCCTGAAATGTTATATAAATTATTAATTAGACATTAATTAACGCATTTAGACCATAATTAACTCTTGCTGTCAACGCTAGCCTGTGATGTTAACTGGATTAGAATACAATTTACTACTTCACTTTCATTCTTGATTTAATCATGAAATGGATAATGAAGAATATGTTTTTGATCGTACCAACTTTAGTGATGATGATTGAGGCTAGGCCGAAAATTCAATCGCTAAAATCTCGGTTCAGAGTGGATAAATTTGACTGAAATTTTTGGCTAATTCCCTTTACATTATCTATTTTTTAACTATTATAGTGAGAAATGCCAGCTCTTTATCTAATATCCCATAATGTATCTTTAAACATACACCATGTAAGAGCTAAATCTGCCTATTGCTGGTCTTTCTTTAGGCCTTAAATGTTTTTTAAACCATTAATTAGACATTAATTAACATGACACGATGTTAATCAACTCTTGATGTCATCTGATGGATCCGGTTTGAATCCGATCTGCGGTTCAACGTCTGTTCATGATTAACCATAAAAATGGACAATTGTGTCGAGACTTTGTTTATTATAGTAACAATCGTAACAATGATAGTAAAGACAACAGTGTTATTGAAATGAGGTTTTCGCGCCTCGGAGTGAAGTAATTCCCTTCACATTGTGTATTTTTTTAACTATTGCAGTGAGAACTCAGCTCTTTATCTTATCTTCCATAATCCCCCTTTAATAGACCTGCCTAACTAACCAGCAAGTCCTGGGGTCGGATTCCGGGGATTAACCTGGTTGGTGTAGACATAACGTTCAATAAATTATATGACCACTGTAAGTATGAACAAAAGTGCATCAAATCAAAAATCACTCAGAGGCAGAAACTCTCACAAAGATGGGTACCAAAACAGGACCTTGAGTCACCACAAAACAATTAGTTCACTTCAGTTATTAAAATCTTGTGGTCTTTTATTTTTGCCCATGCAATATAAATGATATGGACTAACATCCTAATTTTCTGCAACAATCAGTCACTTGAAGAAGGCCTCCAATATTATGAATCTTTTCTCAAATTCAAACCCCATATAGAAAAGATACAGGTGTCAGTCGTTGTTTGTATTTTAAAGGAGAGCCGAAAAAAGCTCTCCTTAATCAACAAATTGAAAAAATCGCGCCCCTAAAAAAGCTCTCCCAGTTTCGATAAGAAGAGTGATTTAGAAATTAAGGAGAGTGATATGATATTAAGAAGAATTATTAGTTGTGTGTATGGGATCATTCTTGGTTTCATAAATGATAATAAACCCCCCATGACTCTGTACAGAAGAGCGATTTTTAATTTAAAAGGAAAGGAAAAAAACCCCCCCTCGGTCGACATTCAGGTTCGCGGCAGGTAGTACATATTTCTAAGTCAAGTGGATTTGTTTCAACTTCAATAGTAAAACCTGTCTCTGAGTTTTAACAGGTTCCTGTATATAAGTTAAATCAACAATGTTAAATGGCTATCAAAATTAATCCTCAGACAGACGACAATAGTTCAAGGATTTAAACATCAAATCCAACAGTCGTTCACCCCATTCAGATTATCTTACTTATCAAAATCAACATTTAGTTAGACATGTTGAGAAATCGCAGTGACGGAGGTTTACGACAGGATGATGGAAGAGAAATTAAAAACAGTCAACAACTAACGTTTAACGTTATTAAACTTCCTATCGTTTTTATAGGTTAATCTGAATCAAATCTCTCAACGCGGGTTCGAACAAGGGAGATAAGTAAACAAGATAATCTGTTGATTAAACATAGATATAGCAGACGTCATATGATATGTGATGGTACGGACAAACGTCTCTTGATCTCTTACATCCCATGAAAACACCTATGTACATATCTGGCCATTAGTCGGTTGAAGAGGGCAACAAAAATCTGTTATAGTCCGCAAAAACACGCAATTTTACTTTTATTTATGCAACCTTCATTTATCAAAAGATATTGCACCCATCCATCATCCAACATATTCAAACTGTATCATTCCAACATATTCAAATTATATCAATCCATCAATCCAATATATTCAAATTATATCACTTCAACATATTCAAATTGTATCAATCCAAAATATTCAAATTATACCAATCCAACATATTCAACATATTCAAATTGTATCAATCCAACATGTTCAATTATATCCATCCAATATATTCAAATTGTATCATTCCAACATATTCAAATTGTATCATTCCAACATATTCAAATTTTATCAATTTAACCTATTCAAATTGTATCCAACCAAAATTATTCTTAATTGTATCCAACCAAAATTATTATTAATTGTATCCAACCAAAATTATTATTAATTGTATCCATGCAATGTATTCAAATTGTATCAATCCAACATATTCAAATTATATCCATCTAATATATTCAAATTGTATCAATTCGATATATTCAAATTACATGTATATCAATCCAACATATTCAAATTATATCAACATATTCAAATTTTATCAATCCAACATATTCAAATTTTATCAATCCAACATATTCAAATTATATCAATCCAATTTTATTCTTATTTTCAAAGGTACGGATCATTCCAGTCTACCCAGTTGTAAATAGGTACTGGTAATTCCAGTCTACCCAGCTGTAAATAGGTACCAGTCATTCCAGTCTACCCAGCTGTAAATATTTACTGGCATACTGGTAATTCCAGTCTACCCAGCATTAAATAGGTACCAGTAATTCCAGTCGACCTAGTGGTAATTAGGTACCGGTCATTCCAGTCTACCCAGCTGTAAATAGGTACCGATCATTCCAGTCTACCCAGCTGTAAATAGGTACTGGTTATTCCAGTCAACCCAGTGGTAATTAGGTTCTGGTCATTCCAGTCTATCCAACTGTAAATAGATAAATAGATACCAGTCATTCCAGTCTAGCCATCTGTAGATAGGTACTGGTTATTCCAGTCTACCCAGCCCAGAATCCCTCTTTTCATCAATTGTCACTATTTTTGGGATGAAAAGTATCTGCCTTGAGACGAGGATAATAATTGTTTTGTCCTTTCATCACAACCCTGAAGAGCTGTGGACGAAACGAACTGAATGAAATGAAATTGGGTTTAACGTCCTACTATTCTGCTCCGAACTGGGCTAATGAAGACGGGCATACGCCATACAATGTGCCATGATGGAAATTTTGCCCATACAACAGTGCTACGGACTACTCTTATATCGAATTTCAACCGTCAAGGGCCCTTTAATGTGCACATCAATGTGTACACTAGGTGTTTTGTCCCATCTGAACGACTATATGTGGATAGAACACATTACAATAAAATCGACACATTATTAAACTCAATTCTTTAAAATTAAAACTGAAGATCCGAACGACTATACATTGTCCATTGCCAGGCCCTCGGTCCTGCACATGGATAAAACACATTATAATCAAATAGACACATAGACACATTATAAAACTCATTACTTTAAACTTAAAACGTCCATTGCCAGGCCCTTGATCCTGCACGTGGATAAAACACATTATAATCAAATAGACACATTATAATCAAATAGACACATTATAAAACTCGTTACTTTAAACTTAAAACTGAAGATCTGTGGTCCACAAAGCTATATAAATTAGATCTGACAGTTCACTCTCTACTCATGACAACTAGTCGCCAGTAATTTATGAAACGGAATAGTATTTTGAGTATTTTCAAGTTATTAAGCAAACTCTTCACCAGTCATATCTTGAACGACATTCTGGACCAGGAAGTAAAATCCGTTATTCTGAGAAAAAAAACAAAATAAACTGGTTTTTTATTAACATCTGAATTCTGAGAAACCAAAGAAAAACACTCCTAATAGAGATGTAGGTCATTTTGAGACGGGAGCCGCGATGACTCAGTGAATATGGCACTGGATAATAGAGGGAGAGAAATGGTGTTTAACGTCCACTCGACACAAACTAGGTCATTTCAGGACTAACATAAATATGGTTCAATTTTATGTCAATAATTCACTTGCGCGTAGGGGTCTTTAGCAGTGGGAGGAAATCGGAGGACACGAGAAAAAAACGAGGTTGGACAGGCAACCCTACTCCTTGTCACATACAACCGGAGAATCGAAACCACGCCAGCTGATTCGACGCCCATGTGCTAACCATTCGGTCATCCAACCCCGCTCACTTGTACAGTGTGCTACGAGGGGAATTTTGCAAAGATACAAGGGATGGTAAATGAAATGAAATGAAATGGAGTTTAACGTCCTACTGTTCTGCTCCTATACTGGGCTAATGAACACGGGCATCCGCCATTCAGCATGCTATGAGGGAAATTTTGCCCGAGCAGCGGCACTATGGCCTACTCATATATCAAATTCCAACTGCCAAGGGGTCTTTTACGTGCACGGCAATGTATACACGGGACCTCAGATTTACCAAGAAAACAACAGGATGGCGATAATTTTTAGTTCTGACGATGTCGTAGAAATAAAAGTGTTTTATATCATGATGTTGATGTGGATCAAAATAAGGACCCAAACAATTTACGAATGTTTGTGTACCTATAATTAAGGTGTTTGTGTACCTATAATTAAGAGTGACAGATTACTTAAACATACATTATGCAAGAGCGAATTTCTTAAACTAGGCCGGTTAAACATGCATGATGCAAGAGCTAAATCTGTCTATTGCAGGTCTTTCTTTAGGCCTGAAATGTTATCTAAACTATTAATTAGACATGAATTAACTTTTCCAAACCATAATCAACTCTCGATGTCATCTTATGTGTTCGATTTTCACTGGATTTGAATCCGATCTGCTGCTCAACGCTCATTGATGATTAAAACCAAAAATGGCTAATCGAGACTATGTTTTTTATTGTACAGACTTTAGTAATGATGAATGAGGCTAGCCTGAAATTTTCAGCATATTCTAGTTACGTTATCTATTTTTAATAAGTATAGCAAGAACTGTCAACTACTTAATCACCTAATAATGCCCTTTTAAAGAAGCGATTTGCAATTCAATACGCGAAGCAGTGAGTGACCTAGGGGGGGGCTATTCGAAAATTTTTGTTCTGAAATGTTAAAGCTATTGAATTGAAAATAGTACAAGTAAAAATGTAATACACAAGGGAAAACTAACATTAAAAAAAGTTGTTGCCAGGGTAACTCATTTTTGGGGAAGAAATTATGAAAAGTGTAGGTACGCTATATCTCTGTAACTAATTAAGATATCTTCACCAAATTTGCAGGATATATAAACTAATATCTACCACAGAATCAGACATAAAGCAATTTGAATTATCATTAATATTTCAAAAGTTGTCAAAATATTTCTCCAAAGACAAAATATTGTAGTGAGGCAAAAAATTAAACATCATTTTCCAAGAAACTATAAAAATTATAGAGAAAAACTAACCCCTTAAGTGGACTTATCCCCGCCCCCCCCCTCTTTTCAAAGATTGGGTTAGAGCCATTGTATATTTATTAATATAATTACGGTAGTAGTATTTCATTGATAAAGGAGGCCACCAAGGTCATATATTAGGCCCAATTCTATTTTACACCGAGGATAAGTGTAAAATAAAATGATAATTTATTGACACCAAGATATTAATATGTAGAAACTCTTTTCCTTTCATCTAATCATAACTTGATGGCAACCTCAATTTATTACAAATGACCTCTTGAAGGCTCTTCACATGAACTAAAAATAGTAACAAATTTTTATAGTCGAAACAGCTGTTGACAAAACAAACCACTTTTACAATATTTATAATATGAGAGAGAGAGAGAGAGCGAGAGAGAGAGAGTGAGAAAGAGAGTGAGAGAGAGAGAGAGAGTGAGAGAGAGAGAGAGTGAGAGAGAGGGTTTAACGTCAGGTCCACTCGAAACAAACTAGGTCAAATTGGGACTAATACGATTCAATTTTATTTCAATAATTACTTGCATGTAGGGGTCTTTAACAGTGGGAAAAAAAAACGGAGGACCCGGAGAAAAACCCACGAGGTTGGACAGGCAACCCTACTCCTTGTCATGTACCAGGGTGAAATGAAATGAAATGAAATGGGGTTTAACGTCCTACTCCTATACTGGGCTAATGAAGAAGGGCATACGCCATACAGTGTGCTATGAGGGAAATTTTGCCCGGGCAGCGGCACTATCGCCTATACTTATATCGAATTCCAACTGCCAAGGGATCTTTTACGTGCATTCCAATGTATACACAGGACCTTGGTTTTCCGTATCATCCAAAGGACTAGACAGCTGTCCTTATCAGGCCCTCCGTTCTGCACCACTGACAAGGGGAAACCACGTCGGAAAATCCAGATGAACTTTCTTGGCCCATGTACCAGGGAATCGAAACCATGCTCAGTTGACTCAATGACAGACCTTATGATACAGTGTGCACGTGCTAAATATTCGGTCATCCAACCCGTCTGGTAGTGGTAGAAGAACAGGTGCCCCCCATCCTATGTCATGCCGACTTCTAGCTTAACAAGAAATGTATATAAACAGAGGGGAATATTTTATAAGGTCAGATGGTATAAGTATTTGTAATCTTGAAAAATAAAGTAAGGCCAATAAATCATCATGGTTCCCTTGTACTTCAAAATATTGTTCAAATATTTACCAGCTGGACTCTTTTAAAGATCCTATGATAGTTGGAAATCGAAATAAAATTTTACTCATGGCAAGATGTTAAACCCAAAATTAAATCAATTAAACAAATATTAAAGAGAGAGAAATGGGGTTAAACGTCAACTCGACACAAACTAGGTCATTTCGGGACTAACATATGGTTTTAATTTTATTTCAATAATTCGCTTGCGCGTATGGGTCTTTAGCAGTGGGAGGAAACTGGGATACCCAAAGAAAACCCACGAGGTTGTCATATACAACTAGGGGGGTGGATCGAAACCACGCCAGTTGACTCAATGACAGACCTTATGATACAGCGTGCACGCGCTAACCATTGTCATGTGTAGATTTGTTAAACTTAGCCAGTTAAAAAAAAAATATTTCAACATTACTTACTGATTATACTGTTTTATTTTTTCTTTATATACACCTGTTTCTTGTGGATCATTTTCTGTTAACGTCTAAAAATAAATATTTTTATTAAGAAATCGTCAATTAAAGGCTCAATACCACTCTTTTTGTAACTGAATAATATGTCCCAATCTTTATTCTGGTCAACAAATTGTACTATTTTACAATATTCTAATTAATTGATGATACAAATTTCATCTTAACACACCTAATTTAAAAAAATTGGAAAAATTCAACTAAATGATTTGAAAAGCCTGACGTAAAGCTTTTCAAATGCGACTTGGATTTAAAAATATTTTTGAACCCTCTGGACAAGTAATATAGGATTTAATGGATAATTTACACAACAGGTAGGACACTAAAACATCTAGTACTTAGAATAAGGCTATTTTTTTATTTTCTGGAGCTGTCAAGCCAGCAAGAGTGTTATTGTCCCTTTAAGACATGTTCAATCTGGTTAAAACACAGTTCCTATTTCGTTTCGTTTTTTATAATTTGAAATTCGGTTTTATTTGTTTGCACTACACTAGGATCTGGAAGAGTTGTTATATAACCTGCGTTCTGGATGGCGTGAGGGATTAACTTGTTACAGCAACTTCTTGGTGTGCGATGTACGAAACTGGGGGTAAACCACTAGAAACGTCAACACTGATTGATTAATCAATGTCATAGGGTTAAAAGCCGTTCATATGACCTCTGACGCAACCTTTTACTACAACCGGTCAGACGTTTATGTAGTGTAGGCTATCGAAAGAGAGAGTTTAACATCCTGTGCTCCAAGTTGTTAATCGAATATGGGCAGATAACAGACAATTAATTTCTATTTATATTTGAAAATTTCTTACCTTTTCCAGTATAATATCATTTAACAAGGTGATCGTTTTAATCTGTAGAACTTCGGTTCCTGTTTCCTCAAATATTTTACTAAACACCGACAATCCTCCCAGTTCAATAAACTTTAACTGTGCATATGGAAAATGACGTATCAGCGAAGACAGGGCGTATAAAATACGTTTTCTCAATGAAACTGATTTCTCGATGGACATTATTCGAATTAAGGGTTGAAGTAAACCAGATTCTACTGCCGATATCTGAGCTTTAGGGTTGCTAAAAACAAATAATGAAACAGTACGTATTAAATAAAGACACATTTTGGATCCACTCAGAGAGAGAAAGAGAGAGAGAGAGAGAGAGAGAGATCGGGTTTAACTCCACTCGACACAAACTAGTTCATTAGCAGTGGGAGGAAACCAGAGGAACCCGAGAAAACCCATGAGGTTGGACATATGATCCTACTCCTTGTTACATACAAGCGGGGAACTGAAACCACACCGCTCAATGACAGACTTTGGTGATCTAATGTGTAACACTTTGGTCCTTAAGACAAAATTGTTGCTTCACTCTGTCCATAGAGTCAAATCACACATACATGTACTTAATGAACGTGAATATATAGTTATACATAAAAAACAGTGATATTTTGGTAAAATCATAACCATTGTCAAGATATCCATCAAATTCTGTCTGTTAATTGACCTATGGTTGGTAGACCAAATAAGGTAATGTCTCCTCCTTTAGTCGTGTGAAATAAAGAGGTTTATTCCATATTTGGGATGGAAATTAATGTCATGGCTAAGACGTGCAGAAATTAGGGGGTTATAAAACAGGGTGTAGAGTGAGATGGGTCAGAGCTCATTTGGGTATTCCAAGCAGCCATTATTATTGAGAACGAGGAACCTTCAAAGCCATTACAGCTTAGCAATAAAGTTGTAAGAAACCATTGATGCTGTAGTGTTATTACGATCTAGAAGAAAACAAACACAACAAGAAAAGAAGTCCGATAGTACTACAAATGTTCATACTTCTTAAACCAATCGACTTCCATCCACTTAGGGAGTCACAGTGTAAGTGACTTGATGGGTATGATGTTGGCTCATGAACAAAGAGGAACTAGCTAGGTTGGTTTCTGGTTTTGGCAGAGAAAGTTAATCAGGAATTTCAAACGTTGACCCCCCCCCCCTTGCAAGTCATGCAGGATGGAGGGCCTGGCAATGAAATTCATTTAGTCATTCAGATTTGACAAAAAATGACTTCTATTTATTTATACTATAGGCAGCCCATCAAAAACCGCATGGCAGATAGAAAGGGAAACAATATAGGCTGTAGTGCCGCCATTGTGGCAAAATTTCCTTCTGGCACACTGAATGTTGTCATTAGCTTAGTTGGTGCAGAAAATTAAGATTTTAAACCCCCATTTCATGAATTCATGAAAGGAAATGAAATGGTGTTTTGACGTTCTGGGGGGTTGGATGGCTGAATGGTTAGCGTTCTCGTGCTGTATCATAAAGTCTGTCATTGAGTCGACTGGCGTGGTTTCGAATCCCCGGTTGTACGTGACAAGCAGTAGGGTCGCCTGTCCAACCTCGTGGGTTTTCTCCGGGTCCTCCGGTTTCCTCCCACTGCTAAAGACCAATACGTGCAACCGAATTATAGAAATAACCAGCGGCTACCAGGCAGGATACGCCCACATTTTTGAGAGATGGATAGAGAACAAGCTAAAAAGAAAGTGATTTTTCCTACAATCAAGGGCCATAATTCATGAAGTTACAATTACAGGGTCCACAAACTTGATATACCATCAAAAACACACTTTTATGGATAACAATTACTATGGTTTATTTCACTGCGACGTTTCAACAAGGTTTCACAAGTCGTTATCAAGCATATATACAAATGAAACGTCGCAGTGAAATAAACCATAGTAATTGTTATCCATAAAAGTGTGTTTTTGATTATGTTCCAATTACTAAATGCCATTCAAAGAATTGATATACCATATTTTTACACCTTTCGCATACAAGCGGCGGCCACTTTGTCCGGCAGTTTTGGTTTGATTTTCAGGAAATTTGAACTCAACCTTTATTATGGTGTTACGGTGATATATATTCAAACGATTTCTAAAATCAGATAATAAGTGTGACCTTCAGAGGGACCACAAGCTAAAAGAGGCGATTTTTCGTATAATCAGGGGCCATAATTCATGAAGTTACGATCCGATTTGCGACAATATTGAAAGGAACCAAGATCTTTAGGTTATAAACATGCATTTCAAGTTTCATCAAAATCGAATTAAAATTGCGACCTCTACAGGGTCCACAACCTTGACATATACCATATTTTTACACTATTCGCATACAAGCGGCGGCCATTTTGTCCGGCAATTTTGGTCCTATTTTCACGAAAATCGAACTCAACCTTCATTACGGTGTAACGGTGATATAATCAGGGCTGTCGGTAATTTTTCACAGATGATTAGCAGCACTGCTAATCAAAAAGTCCAATTTTGCCAAATTTGATTAGCAAATTTAAAAATTGATTAGCAGTTTTTCAGTTTCAACATAAAACACCTAAATAACAAGATTATTTTAATTTTAATTGATAACAAATGATTAGATTTCATTCTTAAGATTTTTTAGAATTTTAGAACTTCTACAGGTAGCTGTGAACATTTCTGAATGAATGTAGACTTTTGGTTAGGCCTTATGTCTGAAGCAAATTCTTGGCAGTGGCTTCTTATTTCTTCGTTAAAAAACAATTTCGTCTGCTTTTTATCGTGTGTTATTATTTTTGTTCAATCGGAAGCACGCGGTATTTTACGAATAATCTCGATTAACTAGACGCACGCGATATAAAAAATAATAGTTTTCTCATTTTACAATACGTTTACACGTATTTATTTTTTATATTTTATTTACAATACGTGGGGATAAACTGAATTTTTTTTTTTTTCAAATTGAATACTGATATAATTACTCGAAATTGGCATGTCTCGCAACGTGAGTGGTACTACTTGATTCCCTATTTCCGGTTTAATCGTCCCGATTCATAGAGTTATGTCCCTGTATTATATAGTACAATGAATTGAATCTGGGTAGTTCGAGAAGAAAAAGGTCACACGGAGAATTCCGTTTTGTTTATAAAATTTATTTGATATTTTATACACGTTGAAAGTGTTGAGAAATGTGGATAAATCTTTGTGTCAATATCCAAAATGACAGGCATATTAATGATTCGCAGTTACTGCGAATCAAAAACGTTAGATTTTAATTTTTGATTAGCAACGGACAAAATATGTATCGCAAATTGCGCTGCGATACTGGTTGTCGGCAGCCCTGGATATAATCAATTGTTTTTTTAAATCGGATAATAATTGTGACCTCCAGAGGGACCACAAGCTAAAAAAGGCGATATTGCTTACAATCAGGGGCCATAATTCAGGAAGTTACGATCCGATATGCGACAATATCGAAAGAAACCAAGATCTTTAGGTTATAAACATGCTTTTCAAGTTTCATCAAAATCAAATTAAAATTGTGACCCATTTAGGTTATAAACATGCATTTCAAGTTTCATCAAAATCGAATTAAAAATGTGACCCATACAGGGTCCAAAAACTTGATTTACCATATTTTTACACTATTCGCGTACAAACGGCGGCCATTTTGTCTGGCAATTTTGGTCCGATTTTCACGAAATTCGAATTCAACCTTCCTTAGGGTGTAACGGTGATATTAATAATACATTTTTTTAAATCAGATAAAAATTATGACATCTATAGGGTCCACAAGCTAAAAACACGATTTGTCGTACATTCAGGGGCCATAATTCAGGAAGTTACGGTCCGATAAACTTACATGTCAAGTTTCAACAAAATCGGATAAAAATTGTGACCTCTATAGGGTCCACAAGCCAAAAACGTGATTTTTCGTACAAACAGGGGCCATAATCCATGAAGTTTTGATCTGATACATGCCAATATCGAAAACAGCCGAGATCGTTTGGAGATAAACCTACATTTCAAGTTTCGTCAAAATCGGACAAGAATTGTGACCTGTAGAGAGTCCACAAACAAATTGTGGACGGACGGACGGGGGCGACAACAATATACGTCCACATGAAAATGTGGACGTATAAAAATAAAACCATATGTTAGTCCCAAAATGACCTAGTTTGTGTCGAGTGGACGTTAAACCCCATTTCTCTCTCTCTCTCTCTCTCTCTCTTTTAACTTCTACTGGTCTGCACAAGACTGGGCTAATGAAGACAGGCATACGCTATAGAGTGTGCTATGAGGGAAATTTTGCCCGGACAGCAGCACTATGGCCTACTCTTATATCGAATTCAAAGTGCCAAGGGTTCTTTTACGTACACATCAATGGGTACACGGGACCTCAGTTTTTTGTCTTATCCAAATAGCTAGACAATGAGCTTGTCAGACCCTCCGTCCTGCACCACTTACAAGGGGCAACCATGCCAGTAAACCCCCAGCAACTTTCTCAACCGACACTGGGGTCAAACCAGAGACATCCAAGTTAGTGAGCCGATGTCTTACTCACTGAGGTGCTGCGGCTCCCTTGTGACAGGGAATTTACTAAACTTTGTAAGGCCAAACCAAGAACTAGAGGTGCAGCGGCTCCCTTCTGACAGGGAATTTACTAACCTTTGTAAGGCCGAGCCAAGAACTAGAGCTGTCTCTGATCGAATAGCTTCACTTGTATGATTCAAAAATCTCAACAAAACTTCTAATCCTCTAGCATCACAAAAATATACAGCATTATCAATCTGAAATATACAGCATTATCTATCTGAAATATACAGCATTATCTACCTGAAATATACAGCATTATCTATCTGAAATATGCAGAATTATCAATCTGAAATACACAGCATTATCCAATCTGAAATATGCAGAATTATCTATCTGAAGTATACAGCATTATCTATCTGAAATATACAGCATTATCTATCTGAAATATACAGCATTATCCGATCTGAAATATACAGCATTATCCAATCTGAAATATACAGCATTATCTATCTGAAATATACAGCATTGTTAATCTGAAATATACAGCATTATCAATCTGAAATATACAGCATTATCTATCTGAAATATACAGCATTGTCAATCTGAAATATACAGTATTATTCAATCTGAAATATACAACATTCTCAATCTGAATAAGTCTAGTTTATAAAATGTTGGGTATTTTTATACCTGATGAAGATAATATTCTAAATCTGTTAAAATAGTTTTAAGATTCTGATCATTTATATCTGGTTTCTGTAGTTTATCCAATAATTCTGTAATAATCTCAACATCTGTCTTCACACCAATATTCATGTCTTCAAAATCTTTCTTAATTTCTTTATAACTTTTAAATTTGTCTATATTCTGAAAGATAGAATGAGAAGCTAATTATTATTATTATTATTATTATTATAGGTCTCTTGGATTGTTGCAGTTTCAGGTATATTGTATGTATCTATATAAATAAAGCAAAATATATGTGTATGTATGTGTGTAGGTGAGTATGTATGTGTGTATGTATGTATGTTTGCCCATCACGCTTCATCGCTGCGATCCAACCCCGTATTTGGTTTCAAATTAACCAGCATGATTTTGGGCCCCAGATGAATTTGGGCCCCTGGCGAATTAGGGCCCTAAGTGAATTTGGGCTCCAGACCAGTGATGGGATTTCAAAACTTTTCTTGTCGGGACATTTTTACCGAAAATAAAGGGGCATAACTCTTATCATTATTTAAGCAGGCGGTTTCAGACCACAATTAAAAATCATGTGTCAACAAAATATTCAAATTCGTACGTAATAAAAAAAACAGGTGCGACTCATTATTTTTCATATTTAATTCCCGTACGGTATTCAAATTTGTGTCAGTAATATTCCTACAAATTTACGTGTTGTCATAATACGATAGAATGGAAACGTGCCGACTACTGTCGACCCGTACTTTTGTTCAAAATCACCCCCAAAATTAATGTATTTTCCGGGGTATAAGTCAATACTTTTTTCACCAGAAATCCGGCATTCGTCTTATACTACGTTTTGACTTCTATATGGATGGAAGTAAAAAAAAAAAGGAAATCCCGAAATTTTTTGGGCAGTGATCGTCGCGCCACGATATCGAGCTAGTGACATCATCTGCTAAATAATAGCACTCGCACGCGCTATCGTGTAAAACAATTAACTACTTACATGTACACTATTCCAATCGAAATATTTGTCGACATTTCTCAGCTTGTTTATTTGTTTTTTTAAACAACAACTCCATTCAAAATATTATCATAAACCCGAGAATATGCCATCAAAATAGATTCTTTCCTCCGACGTGATAATTGTCATAATTACATTTCTTGTAGTTTCACACGTCTCGCGAGATTTCTACTTTAGTTTTCGATTATTGTATTATAACCACATGTGTGTGTGTGTGTGTGAAATAGCTTTATTTAACGTTCGCTTCCATCGATGTGATATCGCAGACAAATTAACGGATATATTGATTTACAAGTTAACGGATAATATATTGATTTGGGGTGTTATATACTCTTACAATATGTGACATCTATGATTAGTTTATACATATTGTCGGCTCACATCAATGGGATTAAAATTTTTGACAATGGAGAAACCACGAGGTAAACACGTAGAAAATCCACAAGGTTGGACAGGCGACCCTACTCCTTGTCACGTACAACCAGGGAATTGTCTGGTTCGGGCAGGTAGAAATAGTTCCAATGATCTGACTGAAATGATGACAATTTCTTACCTCAGGTGATGGGTTGATGATAGATTCAGCTTTAAAATCTTTTAACGCTCTTTTTAATTCATCCCTTGTAAATTTCTTATTTGGGTTTACCATACCTACAAAAATATATAACAATATCTGCATGACTATAAGTTTAACTAAAAGTTCTCTAGAATTGATGAACTACAGAATATTAAAGTGTTCGACATTGAAAACAAGAATTATTTGTCAATTTAAATCAACATTGATGTTATGATCTTACCTGGAAAAAATGGGCTTCTGATATCCAATATTTAAGACAAAATAAACATTTTACCATTGGTACACGAATCGTGTACAACAATGTGTTTCAGCGCCATTTGCAACAAGGGACTTGAAGAACACGACTAGACACATTCCACAAGTCAAGTTGAATGGTGACTTCATATTCTTATCTGGAGAGCATGCGCAATAAATACTATCAGTGTAGAATGGAATAACCAGACGCTAGAGATTGCCATTCGATTGAGATTTCTGGCATATTTCGCCGAAAATAACTGATTTGAAATGTGAGTAAAAATGGAAACGATTGAATGTAAATCAGTTTATATACATTCATATTACAATTCAATTTCTATATCCAAGATATTAGCGATTTACCTCCTTTAAATTGTCATGCGTCAAGTGGGATATAAATGTACATGTTTTAATTCGGTTTATACCAAATGGAATATATAATAATATCTGTATGACGATACTAAATCTTCTCTACAATTGACGGACTACAGATCATTATGTTGTCAAGTCAACAGGTGCTGTTGATACAGTGATTAGCAGTGAATATCCAACAGGCCGCGTGTATCACTGAGGGGGGTGATATCCATGCGGGTTAATTAGCTCACAATATTAACCTTTTTCCTTCTGCAAATTTTTTTGAAGTATTATAAAAGTAGATAAAGGTGTTTAACGTAGATCTGGATAAAAAATATTTCCTTTTTAGAGTAAATGAGCATATAAAATGAGTAAAAGGCACCATTCTGCCCGGACCAGTTCACATTATGTAACCCTTGCTCTCTTAAGACAATGATCAACGCCATTTGATGGGACGTGATGTCATCTTACATATTGAAGGGAGATGCTCCCCCCCCCCCCCCCGCATCCTCCCATCTATAACTGATGTTTACACTAGCGCTATTAATAATACCTTGTTTTTCTCCTAGTTTCCAGTATTTAGATTGTGTATCACCTTCCATTAACTTGGCTTCCTTTAATCCTGTTTCAAGGTTTAAACGGACGTGTAATCCACTAGGTATAGCCTGATCTAAAACAAGACATTCCTTTAAAAATTAAACATACATTATGCAAGAGCTAAATCTGCCTATTGCAGGTCTTTCTTTAGGCCTGAAATGTTATCTAAATTATTAATTAGACATTAATTAACTTATCCAGACCATAACAGGCGCGGATCCAGGGGGGAATTTCAGTCGCTTAGTTCTCGGTTCATAGTGGATCAATTCAAATGAAATTTTCACCAAATTGCCTTTACATTATCTAGCTTTTACCTATTATAGTGAGAACTGCCAACTCGTTATCGAATCACCCATAATTTATCTTTAATCGACACATGAGAGGAAATGAAATGGGGTTTAACGTCCTACTGTTCTGCTCCAAACTGGGTTAATGAAGATGGGCATACGCCATACAGCATGCTATGAGGGAAATTTTGTCTGGACAGTGGCGCTACGGCGTACTCTTGTATCGAATTTCAACTGCCAAGGGATCTTTTACGTGCACGCCAATGTGTACACGGGACCTAAGTTTTTCGTACCATCAGAACAACTAGACAGCTGTTCTTGTCAGGCCCTCCGTCCTGCACCACTGACAGGTGGGATCCACGTCGGAAAATCTGGATGAAGTTTCTCAGCCAATGCAGGGATTGAACATGTGACCTCCAGGCTAGCAAGCCAGCATCTTACCCACTTATCCACCGTGGCCCACAAGACATGAGAGGACTGAAATAGTTGAGTGGTAGACGGGCACTGGTCTCTAGGATAGATGTCCCTGGCCTCACATTTCGAACTAACTAATGCCAGAACTATGGAACTAAGGGATGCAACGATTCTGAAAAACCCAAGGAAATTTCGGGGCCAACATTGGGGTCAAAGTCGATACTCCTGGGTAAGTGAGCCATTATCTTACTCACTGGGCCACCGTGGCTAAAAACAAATAGTATGAAATACCTGGTTGAACTGTTTGCCATTCTTTAGTTGGTATAAAAACATTTAAAGGATCATAAGAAATCTCTTCACCACCATCTTCAACTGATACTTCAACATCTGAATTAATAATAAATGATAGGTGTCATGTATGAGAACAGATCCATATTAGCATATTCTAGTTATTCAGATTGGCCGAAAAAAAACTCTGAACCGTTGACAGTTGGAATTTGATACAAAAATAGGCCACAATGTCGCTGTTCAGGTAAAAGTTAACTCGTAGCACACTGCACGGCATATGAGGGCCCGACAAGGATAACTGTCTAGTCATGCAGTTGGGACAAAAAAACAAGGTCCTTTGTAGACATTTGCCATGCACGTAAAAGAACCCTTGACAGTTGGAATTCAATATACATGTTAGAGTATAGGGGTCTTTAGCAGTGGGAGCAAACCGGAGGACCCGGAGAAAACCCACAAGGTTTGACAAACGATCCTACTCCTTATCATGTACAACCGGGTTATCAAAACCACGCTAGTTGACTCGATGACAGGCCTTGATACAGTGCGCACATGCTAAATATTCGGCCATCAAATCCCCCCACCCCCCATTAGTAGGTGCTGAAAAGTAGGACGTTATTCAGATATATGAAATGAAATGGGGTTTAACATCCTACTGTTCTACTCCGAACTGGGCTAATGAAGACGGGCATACCCCATACAGTGTGCTATGAGGGAAATTTTTTCCCGGACAGCGACACTACAACCTACTCTCATATCGAATTCCAACTGTCAAGGGATCTTTTACGTGCCCGCTAATGTGTACACGGGACTCGGTTTTTCGTCCCATCCCAATAACTTGTCCTTGTCAGGCCCTCCGTCCTGCACCACTAACAAGGGGAAACCACGCCGGAAAATCCCAATAAACTTTCTCGGTCAATGCAGGGACGAACACGCGACCTCCAGACTAACGAGTCATCGTCTTACCCACTTAGCCACCGTGGTTCCCCGTTATTCAGATAAAATGAAGTCTTACCATCTGAGTTTTCTTCTGTTTCAACAACAGTTAAAGCTGTTTGTTTGTCAGAAATCTCACTGTTTACATTCAGAGTAAAATAACAACAACTAACGAAGAGACAACAGATCAGAACATTTATAACTTTAATACTTGTTCCTAATACACTCATCTGAAAAAACAACAACATTTACAGTTAAAGATGTATTATGTAAGAGCTAAATCTGTCTATTGAAGGTCTTTCTTTAGGAAAATGAAATGAAATGGGGTTTAACGTCCTACTGTTTTGCTCCTAAACTGGGCTAATGAAGCCAGGCATACGCCATACAGTGTGCTATGAGGGAAATTTGGCCCGGGCAGCAGCGCTACGGCCTACTCTTATATCGAATTCCAACTGCCAAGGGATCTTTTACGTGCACGCCAATTTGTACATGGGACCTCGGTTTTTCGTCCCATCCGAACGACTAGACAGCTGTCCTTGTCAGGCCCTCCGTCCTGCATCACTGACAGGGGAAACCACGCCGGAAAATCTGGATGAACTTTCTCGGCCAATGCAGGGATCGAACACCCGACCTCCAGGCTAGCGAGCCAGCATCTTACCCACTTAGACAAGTGATCCCCTCTTTCTTTAGGTCTGAAATGTTATCTTATCAATTAGAAATTAATTAACTTATCCAGACAATATTCAGCTCTCGATGTCATTGTTAGCCTGCGATATTAAGTGGATTTGAATACATTTTGTGATGAATAATTTAAAATGGATAATCAAGACTTTGTTTATTATCGTACCTACGTCAGAAATGATGACTGAGGCTAGTCTAAAATCGAATCGCTAATATCTTGGTTCAGAGTGAAACAATTTAAATGTATTTTCAACATTCTGTTTCACAGAGGCAATGCGAAAGTTTTAAGTCAGTGCATGACGATAGACCTTTAACCCTTAACCGGTCGACGTCATTTTGACGTCATGTGGTCAGGCTAAATAAAGGATGACGAGAAATAGTTTGTATGCCTATTTCAATAGACTACTGACGAATAATCATAAGTGACAGACTCTTGACACCAATAAAAAAGTTGAAGGGGTAAGTTGATCTATAATTTGTAAATCATTCTAAGTCCTTTTCATCAGAAATATCGTCTTCAGAATCGGTGTCCTCAATATAAGCCGAGTCGGAATCATTCATAAGTATTTCAACCACTTTGAGCGTCTTTAACGTTCCCGACATCGTTAAATTACGTTTTTTGTCAAAAAATGTTGAACAAAGACGTTTTTCTCAATGCCCTTCACAAGACAAAAATGAAATGAAATGAAATGGAGTTTAACGTCCTACTGTTCTACTCCTAACCTGGGCTAATGAAGACGGGCATACGCCATACAGTGTGCTATGAGGGAAATTTTGCCCGGACAGCGGCACTACGGCCTACTCTTATATCGAATTCCAACTGCCAAGGGATCTTTTACGTGCACGCCAATGTGTACACGAGACCTCGGTTTTTCGTCTCATCTGAACGACTAGACAGCTTTCCTTGTCAGCCCCTCCGTCCTGCATCACTGACAAGGGAGAACCACGCCGGAAAATCTGGATGTACTTTCTCGGCCAATGCAGGGATCGAACACCCGACCTCCAGGCTAGCGAGCTAGCGGCTTACCCACTTAGCCACGTGATCCCCTCTTGACAAGACAAGTTCCTGTCTGACACGCATGCGTGGCCATATCAATTAAATACGAAACTAAACACTCAAATGCGGCTTACCAAAAAGGTTCTTGCTGACCGTGACCACTTAGCTGTAGAACGTTGTGGTGATTAAAGTCGACAATGACCCGTTAAGGGTTAAGGTGTAGCCTACATTTGACGTCAACGGCGTCAATAACACACACATTTATCTAGATATACTTCAACACATCTATTTTTTTTCTTAATAATATTAAATTAAAAATTGTTTTAGAATTTAATTTGTAGAAGAAAAAAAAGTTAACAGAGAGAGCTAATTAACTCGCCCTTATCAATGTCATTCCTTAGTTTCAGTGATAGTGGCCGCCAAGCGAATATTTACGGCTGTTGGTTGATCAGACTACTTTTTTCATTCATCTTTTCATTTGTTTTTCTTCTCTTTTATCCTTTCGCTTTTAAACACTTTCAAATCTAAACCCCCACTTACTTTTTTACCCCCCAAAAAACTGACTCTGCTTTGTATGTGGATTGTCATATGGCATGGGTTAGGGTTAGTGACCATTAACTTTGGGATTGAAAAAAGAGCCGCCTAAAAATAGTAGTCAGATCAGCCAACAATGCCATATTTAATGCTGATCAATTTGTATTTTCAACTTACTTCAAAGTTGGCTATAAATAGTACAATTAACTACAATATAATATTTTGACCCTTTGTTTACACAAAATTATTTGAAAATATTGACTTTACACATGATTATGATAGGCCTACCTTTTGTCTAGACACAAGTAGGCTTTGCAAAACCTTGTAAAATAATATATCAATACAATATCTTCAGGGTAGTAAAGAAAAAAAGGAATGATATCTTTTATTTATTGCGCAAATTGCATCATTTTATCAATTTGACGATTAGTCGAACGCACGTTGTTCCACGTCAGCCATGTTCATGATGATAGCGTAAAAAATAAGGATTACAGTAATCTACACCGAAACGAAACATTAAATTTTGAACCAATTTAGTTTTATGTAGTTTTGGATTGAAATATTGGTTGGTCCCTACGATAACTGAGAGGTGACGAGGCAAGCTACTCTGATAACAAAGACTGTTCTTCAGCATAATTTAAGCACTTCCCACGAACGTTTGTTACGCCTTTGTAAAGGCAAAATTTTGACGCACAAATGGGTTTTTCCCAATTTCTATTTTTAGATGTCCAACTTCATTCCCATAAATCTCGTTTGTCCATTCATTGGTACGATAATAAACAATCTAGGCTACACTACATCCCACACCCTCATAACTTCGCTCCGAAATGAAATGGGGTTTAAAGGCTCAATACCACTCTTGTTGTAACTGAATAATATGTCCCAATCTTTATTCTGGCCAACAAATTGTACTATTTTACAATATTCCAATTAATTGATGATACAAATTTCATCTTAACACACCTTATTTAAAAAATTGGAAAAATTCAACTTAATGGTTTGAAACGTCTAATGTAAACCTTTTCAAATGTATCTTCGATTTAAAAATATTTTCGAACCCTCTGGACAAGTAAAATAGGATGTAATGGATAATTTGCACAACAGGTAGGACACTTAAACATCTAGTACTTAGATAAGGATATTATTTATTTTCTGGAGCTGTCAAGCCAGCAAGAGTGTTATTGTCCCTTTAACGTCATACTGATCTGTTCCGGCTGGGTTAATGAAGACGAGCATACGCCATAAGTGTGCTATGACTACATGATGAAGGAAATTTTGCCCGGACGTACAGCGGCGCTACGTCCTATTCTTATATTGAATTAAGGGATCTATTACGTGCACACCAATTTGTACAAGGGACCTCGGTTTTTCGTCCCATCGGAACGACTTGACAGCTGTCTTTGTCAGGCCCTCCGCCATTGACAAGGGGGGACCACGCTGGAAAACCCGATGAACTTTTCGGCCAACACACGGGCGGATCCAGGCGGGGGGTTTGACCCCCCCCCCCGCTGCTCAGCTACATAATTTTTTTTTTGTAAAACAACCTTTTTTATGACAAAAGTGACATAATTGTGCTTTATCCTTTATCGTCAGATGGTGCAACAGGATGGACACTCAAAGCGCGAGATGCCGTGTAGGCTGTGTTTAGTTTTTGTGTAAATTTTGTGTCGTGCAGTCCCCTGCACTTACTAATAGACATATGTGATATCACAATTAATGCTTTGCATCAATAAAATTGAACCACAATGTCATCGTAATAATTCATAATAAAAATTGACGTCAAACAGGATGTTGGATTTTTCTGTTTAAAAAGCTCAATGTGTACGTATACGCCAAAATGACACAGAGACCATGTATTTCTCAAAAAATTTCAAGCCGAGGGTAGAGGGGGGGGGGTACATTTTCTCAGGAACCTGGCAAACCCCTCCTGCAAACATTCCAGGATCCGCCCCTGCACCGGAATCGAATCCGCGACCTCCAGACTAGCGAGCCAGCGTCTTACTCACTTAGCCACCGTGGCTTCCTCCCGGTAAAATGCAATGGGGTTTATGATCTTATTTCTCTTCCATCTAGTGGGATAATGAAGACGGGCATGCGCAAACGCGGTGTCCTATGGTTACAATTTTACCTTGACAGCGGCGCCACGGCCTACATTATTTCCAATTCTGCCAAGAGTGGTTTTACGTGAGCGAATTGGAAGCGAACCCGTGATGTTGCAGAAAATAAAATATGATTAAAATACAGATCTATATTTCGTGTCGTTTTTTTTTTATACTTTCGATGGCCTACACTACACGAAGATCTGACCGATTGTAGCGATATGTCGCGTCAGAGGTCACACGAGCGGCTTTTGACCTATGACGTCAGACATTTGATTAACCAATCAGCAGTGATGTTACTAGTGGTTTACCCACAGTTCCGTGCAAAAAACGTCTAAAGCTCGCCGTAACAGACCGCTTCATTGGCTAATCCCTCACACCATTCAGAACACCTCAATGATAACAACTCTTCCAGATCCAAGTGCAGTAAAGACAATTAAAACGAAATTTTGAACTATAAAAAACGAAACGAAATAGGATCTGTGTTTTAATCAGATAAGACAAGTAAAATGAAATTCTGAACTATAAAAAACGAAACGACAAGACAAGTAAAATGAAAGTTTGAACTATATAAAACGAAACGAAATAGGATCTGTGTTTTAATCAGATTGCAGAGAAAAGAATGGCGCCAAAAGCTATTTCAATTTATTGCATTTCGTATTTCATTCAAGTGAAAGATTAATTGACGGCATGTTTTTTATCTTTATTCAGTGTTTATTTTATTACATAGTGGAATCTAATTCTTTAGTATGGATATTTTTACTAACAGCCTGATAAACAGCATCGAATTTCTATAAACGTCTAGGTTACTAATTATCACACAACCCTCCCAAAATGTCATCAAAATAATTAATTAAGATTCGTCATTCAACATTTATATATTTCCACTGGTAAGACTATTTCGTTTTAATGGTTTCCTTGACTTGCCACCTTACAACAGGTCTGAACGAATCACAAATAGACAACATATCCAGTAAATGTCATACACGGGTTTGTATTAAAGATACATTATGGGAGATCAGATAAAGATCTGACAGTTCTTACTATAATAGTTAAAAATTAGATGATGTAAAGGGAATTTGCTGAAAATTTCAGTCTAAAACGAGAATTTAGCGAATGAATTTTGGGCCTAGCCTCGATCATCACTAAAGTGGGTGCGATAAAAAAAAATAATCCACTTTTTGATTTAATTAACAGTTTTAACAGAAAATATCCATGCCATTTATTTCCCCTATTGTAATATCCGTACTATAATAGAAATCAACACGTTGTCAATTCGTTTCTATATATAATCAAATTCAGAGATCAGAATCTGTCGCCATCTTTAATGAATGAATAGTAGCCACGTGATTAAGGTAATCCGGTATGAGTATTCACGTGCAGAATTAACACGTGTTTGTCATGTAAAGGTCGTGCCTGTTATAAAGAGCTGAAAGCTATAGTTTATTAATCTATATAACTAGGTAGATTAACTTGGCACCTTTAACCTATGAATAACTATAGACAGGTGTTCGATGAATATACCTGTTTATTTTATGATCAATAGTGGAATACCGCGTTTTATCAGTGAAATAAAAGTGTTATTCCACTGGCTAGTTGTTTTTACCTAAAATGATTGTAAAATCATAAAATAAATAGAACATTTCTCCTATCTGTACCTGTAATTGCTGGCGGGCCCGTATCTACAGGGGGGCATGGCCCCCCCGCGTGAAATGCTCGCCCCCCCCGCTCAGAAATTGCTAACAATCATTAAAGTATACACAGTTCCTTATATTAACCTAAGAAAACTACGCTTCCCTAAGCAGGAGGAGGTATAATTCAGGCGACTATGCGCATATTAATCCCACGGTATCTCATTACTTTATAAACCATTTTTTTGTACTAATCTAAAATAGTTTTAAATAAATTAAAAAAATCACGATTTTTTTTTGTTTGAATACTTATTTTAAAATGCTTATTAGACGCCTAGGTAACTACATAGCATGATGATTACAACAGTCTGTTAGAATGACCTTTCCGAAAATTTCCTCAAAATGTTCGCCCCCCTACCGAAAGGTAATGCCCCCCCGCTTAATGGTGTCTAGATGGCTGGTACCCTTTGTTCAGCTAAAGGGGGGGGGGGGGGGTCATGGTGGCTAAGTGGGAAAGACGCTGGATCGCTAGCCTGGATGTCGGGTGTTCGATTCGTTGCATTGGTCGAGAAAGTTCATCCAGATTTTCCGACGTGGTTCCCCCTTGTCAGTGATGCAGAACGGAGGGCCTGACAAGAAAAGCTGTCTAGTCGTTCGAATGGGACGAAAAACCGAGGCTCCGTGTACACATTGGCGTGCACGTAAAAGATCCCTTGACAGTTGGAATTCGATATAAGAGTAGGCCGTAGTGCCGCTATCCGGGCAAAATTTCCCTCATAGCACGCTGTATGGCGCATCCCCGTCTTCATTAGCCCAGTATAGGAGTAGGCCGTTAAATTTCATTTCATTTCATACGATTCGGCGCAAGCGTAAATAAGCGTCAATAATGTCGCACTAGGAAGAATAGCTTCTTGATCAAATTAAACGACTAGTCTATATAACTATTTATTAGTAAATCTGTCATTTATAAATTGATTGATCAATCATAATTCGACTCTCTTCAGATGATCTGTAAACAGCGTTTCACAGCCGTGAAATATGATCTAATAACCCACTCTAATCTGACAATCACCTGTAGTCTACGTTGGTCTTGTCTTGGCCTTGTTATGTATCATTTCACTTATTATATAAAATATACTATATATTATAAATCTATCAATTCTTTATCACCGAATTCCTATCCATTCATATTTTAAAGGTTGGTGTTAACTTTTAGAAGCATGGATTTATTTGTATTGAATGCTCAATTACATAATTACACTCATGCAGTTCACAAGTGTGAAGAGCTGGATTTGCAATGAATCATAAATATCACAATGGGATATTCAATTAGATGATTTAAATCCACTGTTCACCGTCTGTTGAATGTCATCGTGGATTATCCCCGGGTCGGTCATCAATATTTTTACTATACCCAGTGAGGGACCAAACTGAGTTTTCCGCATTCAATTATAAAAAAAATTTAATACACGTGGCATGATTTAGGAAGCCTGTCTAACCTTTTGTGTTTTCTCAGAGCTTTCTATTTCCCCCCACTTAAACATACATTATGACGTCACATTAATAATGACGTCATTGTATTAATCATATTAAACATACATTATACAAGAGCTAAACCTGCCTATTGCAGGTCTTTCTTTAGGCCTGAAATGTTTTCTAAATTATTAATTAGACATTAATTAACTTATCCAGATCATAATCTGGCATCGCTAGCCTGCGATATTAAATAGATTAAACTGTTCAGTCATATTTTGATTTAAGCTAAAACTGGAGGAGCGAGACTTAGCTTCGAACAACCAGTAGGATGGATGACATTATTGCACACGTCTTGTTAAACCTTCAAAGGCTAATATCTTTGCTCGTAAATAGAGTAATTT